AATTCTATTTTTAAATTTTATAGACTTTTTGGATATCGTATTTATGGATATTCTTACGCGTTACGCTTGTATTAGCAGTAAGAATCTCTCACGTTCTTCGTAATCTCCTTGTTAGATAGAAGTTCATGTTCTAATATACACGTGTACATTTTTTTTAGCCGTTGATACAATGAATTAAGTTTATAGAATTTAGATAATCAAAAGTTTGGACCAACCAAATCAAAATTGTGGTGTTTGTGCCCTTTGACTTTGACTTTGAATTATTGACCCCATTTAATTTCTTTGACTATGGTCACCTAAAGTTTATATTTAATTATTAATCAAATGGGAAATTCCATGATGTTTGATTGTTCTTGGGAGTAAATTACTTGTTTAAAAGATGAGATTTATTGAATTCTTTTGATGAGATGTACATTAAGTTTTTGTCACACACCAACTGTGAAATGATGTGATGAACAATGAATAGTGATGAATATTGATACTACCATATGTCATTCAACGTCTTTATACTGCAAATTATTTATTATTATTAATCGTATGTTTGTATTTTCATAAATCGAACAGTATCTTAAACAACTTGTACATATTTGGACTAATTTCAAGAAAGAAAGTGAATTGTTATCGACCAAATTATGTGATGGTTGAGGAGTTGCACACAGACCACCATGGAAATCATCAAAGTTGCAAGGTGAAAGTCCTCCATTTCAGTAGTTTGAATCAAAGTGAATTGTTTTCGTCTCGGCTCTCGTCTCGGTTTTCATCTCGAGAATTCCTTCTAAACGCGGGTGAAGTGTGGTCTTTCTGGTCGAAATTTTTCATGAGAAGAAGAAACCTTTTCCACATTGAGTCAGTGGAAAGGTTGAAGTCATGTCTGCGTTCATGGACAAATCTGGCCAGGGCTATAATGACTGCAGATAAAGATACAGCTCCTGAAAGAAGAAACAACCCCCAAAAGCTTTCGAGCCCAAGTGTGGTGGAAATCAAGCTATTGGGGTCAGGGCTGCTGATATTGCTCTTAAACCATTTGTTTTCAATATCTTGCAGAACTCCATTCTCCATTATATTAAGTATTCCGTTGGAAACATCGCGTCCGAGTTGAGACCCCTTGGGAAAGACCTACATTCATAAATCTTGACGGTTGAGATAACCGACTATTCTCATCAAACAACGACATGAGTCTTTTCTGTAGCAGGGAGAGGTCTCCACATCCTTACAAGAAATGTTTCGTTCCCCTCTCCAACTAATGTGGAATCTCACAATCCACCCCTTTGGAGGCCCAACGTCCTCGCTGACACGCAGCTCGATGTGTGGCTTTGATACAATTTGTAATACCTCAAACCTACCACTAGCAGATGTGTGCATTGGGCTTTCCTTTAAGAGTTTAAAACGCGTCTACTAGAGAGAATTTTTCACACCCTTATAAGGAATGCTTCGTTCCACTCATGTGGGATCTCACACTATCAATCTCTTCGAACCAACATGAAAGACGAAGGACGAGTTTCACACTTACATAGCCAAAGCCGTTTGATTTCATCATGGGACCAACGATGGTGCAGTTGGTGCAATATGTTGTAGTAAGATCCTTGAGATAAGGGACTTCATCAAAGGCAGCAGCTATGGTTCCATTTAAGAACAGTGATCCACAATGGGCCATATTGTTATAAATTACAAGCTTGGATCGATCAAAGCCTTCAGTTATCAGCAAGTCAAGAACAAAAGAACCATTTGGGTATCCAACATTCACCTTCTTCTCCTTCAGTTGGTTCATATCATTAAACTTTGGCTCAAGCTTTTGAACCGTGAGTAGCGATGTGAGACTGGCGGTGTAGCTTTGAGTTAATATGAGCACCACAAACAGCCATACTATTACCACAAATCTAGCCAAGTTGCTCTCCACCTTCTCCCCTGTTGCATATAGAGAAGCCATTTAGTGAACCATCAACCAAAACATAGCCAAAATGAGATAAATATCAAAGCTACAAGGACAGAACAGATTACTTTGAGCATACACCATGGTTGAGAAAGCAAACCAGAAGCTCGTCCCGATTTCGTGGGAAGGAGGACCTCGAAAATCTTCGTTGATTCGATGCTCAAGAGTCCAGATAACCAGTCCAATGAACACAAAAAAGAAACCACTTGTCAACCAAAGATCCAATGTTAAAGGCTTCAAGAACAGCCAAGCTTTTTTGTTGTTATCTTGATATAGTACGACCATCGACACGCTAGCTTCCGAGTATGGCAATGTGAAGTCGACATACAAGGATCGGCTTTCTCTAATCGATATGTCTCCCACGACTGCGTCGTATTCCTGTTCAAGAACAATGCACAGTTAAAGCAAATGCAAAAGAACATTTGTTTTGAGTACTAACTATTGAAGAGTTTAGGTTCAAACCCCACGGGGCACTTGCTTGATCAAGTCATCATAGCTACCGGCCATTACTCCGACATCATTTGCATACCGAATGTATTCATAATTAAGAGCGTATGGTAATGTTTCGACCACAGCTTCGAAGATATCAATGCTGTACCCTGTTTTCTTAGTATTTGAACTCAATGGGTCCCTTATCTCTCGAATGAACTTACTGACCCCAGATTTAACAGGTATTCCGATTCTCAGCTTCTTTTCATTTATAGGGGACACCCAACCTTTTGGGAAACTGGAAGAATCCCCTGGCCATATGATACGGCTGAGATTAGCAGCTGAACTGTTTGAGCTCATTTCCGTGGAGTTTAATGTTTGTGTCAGTCCATTTTCCGGCGTCCAGAATCCAACCGCTGTAATGTTCTTTTGATGATTGATGTTTATAATCTCGTAAGCTGATGATTTCAATTGCCCTTCAACCATCCTGAAGTCTCCTGCAATCCCTTTGAAATGTGTCTTAGACAATGCCTCCGACAACCTCGGACCATTCCGAGAGACACCGAGATTGTCGAGATCTGTAGATTTGCCCGAAACAACGTTTGAGTTCTTGAAGATGAACTCCGTGGTTCCAACTCTCTCCACAGCCTTGGCGAGAGCGAAGATAGCATCGTAAGCTCGTAACCCAAATATATTGAGTTCAGAGATTTCCTTGTCCCTTCTCCATCGCCGTTGAAACTCTTCGAGTTTTTCTGTTATGGGAATGTAAGTTCTTACAGCTAAAGCTCCACTCATGGCTTCCATGGCGGAATCATCAATCTCAGAGAGGAAATTACTCATCCCATCAGTTATAATCCAAATATAACCAGAACCCATCATCCCAATCTCCTTAGCCATGGCGAAAACGCGGGAACCAAGCTCCGGCGACATATGAACAACGAAAACTCTCGTTTGCATAGTCATTAATCGGTAAAGCTGTTTGGCGATTCTGTCATCAGACGCCGATTGAGGAATCGCCGTCTCGTCGGCGACCCGAGTGTTAATTTCTCGAAGAGCGTCTCTCATGGAGGGAAGAATCCCCTCGCCGTATTGATCATCGGAGTGAATGATCACCACCTGTCGCCAATTGAACTCTTTAAAAATGGAGGCGATGGGTTTTACTTGCGATGAATCGATTTGGGTCGCTCGGAAAAAATAAGGATTCCGACGAGAGCTCAGAGATTGCATTGTCGTTGTCGCGGAGAATGAAATTATGGGTACGTGAGATTTCTTCCCGAGATCCGCCATGAAAGCTGCTTGAGATGAACTCTGTGGCCCAACAATGGCTTCCACTTCTTCCTTCTTGATTAACTCTAAAGCTGTTTAGTTAAGAAAAACAGATTAAAACCAAAACTTCGGGAAAAACTATGAATCATAACGTGGTACGGAATTAAGTTAAAACCTGCAGCAGTAGCTTCAAGGTCGTCTCCCATGGAGTTTTTCGGAAACAGAGTCAAGCGGGTGTTGTAATTTTTATGAAATTCATAGAAATCCGAGAGAGCCATATCCATAAAACTCAACCCCATTTTCCCAATCAAAGAATTGGAGTCAAGAACAACTCCCACCTTCACTTTAACTGCCTCGTCATCCGCCATGGCCGACAAAGCTCGAAGGCCGAAACAGAGTGCGAGGAAGAAGAAGACGGTGGACTTTTCCATTGCAAAGCTGAGGATACCTTCAAAAGGGTTTTAATGTGGTGAGTTGACAAATAAATTTATGAATATGGAATTAGAATTGGTCGAATCCGAGCTGAACATTGCAATCAAATGTTATTGGTTAGTACTTTACCAGAAATTTAATTACTTCAACCCTCAACCCTATGAAGCTCAATTTTTCGGATTTAAACTTAATATTTGACTAGGTTGATTTAATATTCATTTAGTTTAGTTTTTTATTTTATTTTAAATTTTAATATTGTATTCGCTTTTGTTTTTAATTGGTCGTTTAAAAATAAAAAAAATAAAAAAAAGGTATTAAAGTATTGGCCACGCAAGCCAATACTTGGCCTGCTGATATGTCAACAACGATTGGTAGGTGACCCTTTCGATGGGTTCTGTCGTGTGAGTCAAATTCTTGTTAAGGAAGTGTGCCATATTCATAATTCTTTATTCTCTAGGGCCAAATTTATAATTATTCTTTCTGCCATTAATTTTCTCATTGAATTATTCCATGCATTCTAAATTTTAAAAAAATTACACATTCGTGTATGTTTGCTGTTTTGTTTTAAACTCTTTAAATCTCAGTTTGTTAATTCTACTTTTATGTATTAATTAATATAAGAAAATTATAATTTTTAGTCTTAACATATTAAGTTTTACACTACATTTAATTTCTATTGCAATTACCTGCATGCCAATAATGTATTAAAAAGCTACAACCCTTGAATATTTTAAATACGCCAAAGATTTGTTAGATGGAAAAATGATAAAAGTTGGAGGTATTATTAGATATTTTATAAAGTTTTATATTTTTTGAAAAGTAGAAATTAGAGTTTATTTTGGGCTGGTAGGGCGCTACGAAGAGGCCCATAAAACGTTGATCCGAAATACGGCCCCTCCCGGGAGATGGTGTAGTTGCAAAAAAGGTCCCCATAACTCGTTGAATTAAAGAGAGGACCAAAAACAACACGGAAATCTGAGAGGCAAATTGAAATTGTTCCTGTGTTCCATCTGGGTCCCAAAACCTGGTTCGGCACCTGCATCTCTCTTCCTCACAATGTATGGCGGCCCATCCAAGCTCGCTCGGGCCGGCGGCGGCGCTGGCCGCGGAGCCAGCGGAAAGCGGCCGCCCTCCTCTTTTCCTCTACCACCTGCTCACCGCCCCTCCGGCCGTCTCTCTCTCGGCGGCGGTGGCGCCGGTTCTGGCGCAAATCCTCGGAATCGAACCTCCACCGCAGCCAAATCCGAAGCCCCTCTATCCGTCGAGGAGAATTTCAGTCTCGTTACCGGTAACAATCCTTTGGCTTTTGCTATGATAATTCGGTTGGCTCCCGACTTGATCGAAGAGATCAAGCGGGTTGAGTCGCTGGGAGGAACTCCGAGAATTAAGTTTGATGCGAATGCCAAGAATTCTAGTGGTAATGTAAGTTTTCTGTATTACTTGTTCTTTACTCTAGTCATCCACATCATGGGATAATGAAGATTTTTTTTTTTTTTTAAAGATTATTTGAACTGTGTTAAGTATTTCAAATACGCTGTCGAATATGTGCACAAGTAGCTTATGTGGATTATGCTTCTGTTCGCTATTTGTTGGATTTTCCCTGTGGAATCTCTTTGTGCAACCGCTACTTCGTTACATATATTTTTGTCTAGATGGTCTTATTTAGTTGGAATTTACCGCCAATTTGAGCATTGCTATAATCTATTCTTTTGTAACATTATTGTGTTTACCTTTTTTATTTGGCAACAGTTAGCTATGGGCTGAATTGGTGAGTATGAATACTGTGAGGTCAAGGGTTAGATTACCCAATTCAGTAGAAACATAGAAAACCATGTAAGTACGAAAAATATCAGTAGGAATAGTTTATCAGATATATCAGCTTTTATGTGTCTATGATAATATAGGTTTTTCATGAGGATATATTGGAGTTCGTGTCCCAACTGACAATTGGGGCATGGCCAATTTAAAAGTTTCAAGCTGGAGATCTACACTTGATAATACTTGCTGCATTTATAACCTAAATTTTGAGCATTTTTTTCTTATTTTGGTAGACATGATTATTTAATGAATTGTGAAAGTGCTGCAATTGATGAGGTGTCAGTTGTATTCTTACAATGTGCACAACATGCTTATAAAGAATATGCAATTTATGATGATTTAATAGGAATTAGAGTGAAAGAGGTAAGTTGAAAGGGAAAACTCTAATTCTCTCTGTGTTTACTGGGGAGCTTTATCTTGAGAATATTGCTATCTCTAGGATCTGTTGAAATCCCCCATCAACCAGAAGTTTATTTATTTATTTTACTCTTAATTTTTTAAAATAAACTTTAGCACGAAAAGTTATTGGTATAATTTGAAAAGATTTCCAACAGGAGGGATAATAAAGATTAAGGCATGATACCAACAGGAGGAAGAGTAAGTGTCCTATTGTGATTCTAGTAGGAAAAGGTAGGTATAACAGGCGTTCTACAATTATATAAAAACAGACTAACAACCCAAGATTTCCCTGACATCTGTTGTTATTTTTTTGATTGAATACTCCATCATTTGTGGATACCAAAAAATACTTGATGCCATATGAGCAAGTTAAAAATAGTTGGATATAGTATAAAAGGAATACTCTTCTATATTTCTTCCAAAATCTTCACATCCAAGAAAGAGAGATGTTGGATTGCATACTCTGGGTTTTGGTGATGTTGCTGAACTCTCTAGGATCTACCCCTTTTTTCTCGATATCCTGATTCTTCTGTTTGTTAGCAGATGTGGAGATAAGTGGAGCTAGGAGTTGTTCCTATATTTATGTGAAAATGGGATGAAACACATCCTATACCTTACTTGCAAAGTGCTATGCTGTTTTCATTTTATCAATGAGTTTTTATCATACAAAAATCTCTCTTTTGATTTGTTTTTTTTTTGGAAGAAAGATATTTACTAGTTTGCTATAGGCTTCTCATTCTGCATCCCAAGAAAATTATTATTATTTTTATTGGAAATAGTCTTCATCTCTATAGGACAATATTTAAGGAGTAGAGGTCTTATCCTGTACGAAAAATGAAGAAATCATATAAAGGCTATCCACGCCTTGTGCAGTTAAAAGAAAGGAATACATATAAAATTATATTAATGATGCATAAACATGAAACCGATGGTCTATGTTGCCATCTAGTCTTGATCATCTCCAATTGTGCATATTCAAATTTAAATAGTTGTCTTCTCCTCAATCTCTATCATGTGCATTTTTCTTTCTATTGATAAGAAGGGTCTAAAAGTCTAGAGGAATTGCCTCTTTCGGCAATTTTTTTTATCACTTTACCCTTCCAATGAATAGCTGGGAAGGTGATAACAATCAGTGTAAAGGCTGAATACGAACAATACTGGATTTTCTTCCTGTTCTACTCCCCCCCTCCCAGGGCAGGTTTGTGCTAAAGTCATAATATATGTATGGATCTGACATATTCTCATCAAATCAATGTTTCCTGTTTGTCAATTGTTACAATTATACATGCACCTTAAGATCTAATTCTGCTTCCCTGTTTGAAGTTTTTTTATTTATTATTTATTATTTATTATTATTATTATTATTATTTTGAGGGCTTTGGCTATTTAAGATTGTTGTACCTGAACTGAAATTTTACACCAGGTCATTGATGTTGGGGGTAAAGAGTTTAGGTTCACATGGTCACGTGAAGTTGGTGATCTTTGTGACATATACGAAGAACGTAAAAGTGGCGAAGATGGAAGTGGTTTGCTTGTTGAATCAGGCAATGCTTGGAGAAAAGTGAATGTGCAGCGTATCTTGGATGAATCAACTACAAACCATGTTAAGAAGTTGTCTGAGGAAGCTGAACGAAGATCTAAATCTCGCAGGTATTTCTTTTGTTAATTTTAATAGAAATCAAATTATTTTGTTCAAGTTCTTATCAAATTGGTAGAAGTTTTAAAGCTGACAAAAGGAATACAAGCTTCCAAAATCTTCGCGAGGCCTGGCATTGTCCAAAATTATTCTTAAAAAAATCTCATCTCAAAACTTCCTAACTCACTCCATTCATAGAATTCAACTCTAAGCAAATTACCAAATAATTACAAATATGCCACTGCTAATAGCATATCCTTACTAATATTCTTTACAAAATGATGATTAGATTCAATTTTGAAGTTATTCGATGTTATTAGGTTTAATTGAGACTTCTTTTCTAAAACAAGAGACAAATTTCATAGATAATTGTGTTAGACAAGAAGGTAAAAACCAAACAAAAGTCAAGGAGTTTGACGAAGATTGTTGATTAGCTATCATCATAGAATTAGGAATATTGCAACAAGACTAGAAATGCAGGCCTACGTAAGAAGAGGCCTCAAATACAACAAAATCCCCAACTTATTCTCACTTGAACCAAATGCCTCCGAAAATCCTTTTGTTTCTCTCCAACAAAATCCTTTTGACTAGAAACGGATTACTGCAAATTTTATGCGGACTCTCTCTTGTCCTTGAATACATTGCTCAAAAGAAGCTGATGAGCATAGCATGAATCATCTAGGCAAGACGTAGCTTCTTCTCTGCATAACTTCGTTGGTTTTAACACCTTGAAGAATCACTTCCTACAGAAAGACCTTAAACATTTTAGGGAGTTTAGACTTCCATTCTTTTCGCTCAGCTTTTGAAAAATGAAAGTCTCTGTAGCAGCCAGCAGGAAGAGAGAAACAACTGAGACGAACAAAACAAAATCAGTGGAGTAATTGCAGATTGACATTTTAATAATAAATTGATTTTTAAGCGTACTTAGACATGAGTAATTGCATTGTTCAGAATATAGTTGCTTAATGCTTCTGCTTCTAATAGAAAACAACTACAGATGACTTAAGCTATTTTTTTATTTAATTAAATTTGGACATGAAACTATAGTATATTCCTTTGTTTAGAAGTATTGGAATGCTCTTAAAAATAAAAATTATGTTTAGTTTGTGGATGTTTTACCATTCTTCTAAGCCATAATTAGTTTTATTTATAAGTTCTATAATAATATTATGATCAACTACTCTTATAATATCTGGCCTTCCTCTCAAACCAAAAACCGGAAGAAAAGGATTTTGATGATTGCTATGTAGAACTGATAGTTTGTGAACCTTTTACTTTCATGATTTTTAAACTATAGAAAGGTTTTGTATATTGTATTAGAGATATCTGTGATGGTGTTTAGTATTATCTTTAGCTCTCTCACATGCATGCACATCTGTTGTGTTTCTGGCTACAGAGCTATTGTCTTAGAACCTGGGAATCCATCTATGAAGAATCAAATAAAGCAATTGGCTGCTGCCGAATGTATGCATCTCTTGAATCACTTTTTTTTTTTTTTTTTGTGTTACTGTTATCTGATTGCATTACTGCAAAAACTGCACCTTATGAGTTGCTCAAGTCTTTACTAATACCTAGCTTGCTTGCAGCTAATCCATGGAGGATGCATTATAAGAATAAGAAAGAGCCTCCATTTAAAAAGCAGAAAAACGAATTGTCTCAAGGTGATTGCCTGTGTACGCATATTGAATTCTTTCTTCTTATTCCATTTTCTTTTCTATATGCTTTATGCTTCATCTTTTGACATAGAGCGTTTTCTCACTTTTTGAGTGATTTCTTTCTCTTTGATGTATACTGCGTCTCCTGATGGACAATAATGTCAGTTAAGCTTAGTAATTGAGTACTAATATTTGTCATTGCAGTTGGGCCTCCAAAATCTACATTTAAGCCTGGCATGTCATCAGTACCTGCTTCCAAGGAGAGGCTATCATCTTCACCTGTTCCATCTCCACCCGAGCAATCTGGTGCTCCAATATCTCAATTCGGATCTGCAAATCCCACTAAGACTCATTGTATTGCAGAAGATATTAAACCTCGACAACCAGCTAAGATTAATGCTGCTGCTAGCAGTGAGAAGGAAATTCCAACCAAAGCCGCAAAAGGAGTTCTGGAAGCACCAGGACAGGAAGTGAATGCCGGAGCTAAACCAACAGATTTGCAAGGAATGTTGTATAATTTACTCTTGGATAACCCCAAGGGGATGAGTTTGAAGGTACGCTCAAGTAAATAGATAATTTTAATTGAAATATGGATTCCTATATAAAAATAATGTTGGATGTTTCCTGTTCGTTGTGTGTTTGTTTCCTTAAACAAGTCTGTCAATTCTATTCAAAGCATGAATTTACTGTTTTCTCCCTCTCTTTCTCTCTCGTGTAGGCATTGGAGAAAGCTGTTGGCGATAAAATCCCAAATTCTGTAAAAAAGATTGAGCCAATCATTAAAAAAGTAAGTGATGTAAATGTTAAATTATTAGAAATCCAATTCATACTTAGGTCAGTATTTATTCAGTATTTCAATGAATCTCATATACTCCCTAAATATGTTGTCTTGAATAGTAATTCAATTAAAAAGATCCAACAAGTGAACTATCAATTTGAAATGGGGAGATATTAGAAATCCAATTCTTATATTCTTGTTTAATTTGACTATTAGATTGCAACCTACCAAGCTCCAGGGAGATATTGTTTGAAGTCAGAAGTTGAGTTGGAAGGCTCTAAAAAGCCTTCATCTGAAGGTGAAAGGTACTTCCTTCAACGTTTGACGGGCTTATTTCATCTGGTTGACTTAAACAGTTTTTGAGAATGTTACTTTAAATGCATTCAAACTTACCTCTTTGAGGAAGTAGAGATATCTCAACTATATTGTCTTGATATTCCAATGTATTAATCCGTTGTTAAGACATTGCTACTTTCTTGAAGAGGTTGTAGGTTCAAATCCTCATATGTGTTAGTAATATTTTTTGTTACACAAGAAAAAAAAAATGTGAAAAAATAAAAACAAAAGAACTCCATTAGAGAGTAATTACTGTGTCTCTTCGGGGTTGTCTCTTCTTCCTCTTCCTTCCTTTTGTTAAGGAGGTCCCGCTCCGTCCAAAGCTTCTAATAAATAATAGCATTCAAGGTCGAATGGCAAAGATCGAATGAGGGAAGGATTGATTCACAGGTCTAGCTGCTCCGTATCAATTCATCTTTAGTAGCAAAAGCTCTTCCTTCTTCTCTCTTATCTGTATTCTTCCATATCTGTCTTCTTCCATGTCTTCCTTCTTTCTCTGACATTCCAGCTTTTTCTATTTTCTTTGTTTACAAACGCTTTTATACGCTCTTATTAATATTAAGCCAAGTCAGTCCTTTTGCAGCTGCCGGTGTATTTGATATTTATGGATTGCTCGATATTCATCTAGGAATCTAATTCACGTTTTGTCTTTCACAGCTCTCCTTTAGTCAGCCATCAACAAACCCCGGTACATGAAGACTTCCATGATCAACCTGTTCCAGAATCGCAATTAGAAGCAAGACATGTCATTGAATTGGAGGAAAAGGTAGAAACCTCTCAAGCAAACAAAGAATCAAATTTCTTGGAGAAAAATGGCATCCAACAGAATTCACCCGATCCTTTTGCTGAGAAAAAAGGCTCTGAAAATAGCGAAGGCCAGGCAGCTAGTTCTTCTGACAATGAAAGTGACAGTGATTCTGAAAGTGATAGTAGTGATAGTGGAAGTGATAGTGGGAACCGTAGTAGGAGTAGAAGTCGAAGCCCCGTGGGTAGTGGGAGTGGGAGTAGCAGTGATAGTGAAAGTGATGCACCTTCTAATAGCAAGGAGGGTTCTGATGAGGATGTGGATATCATGACTAGTGATGATGACAAAGAACCCAAGAATAAATTGCAAGCTTCCGTACAGGGTTTCTCTGCGTCTCCTGCTGCTTGGAAAAGTCCAGATGGTGGGGCTGTGTTGAACATAGACGATGAGAAGGAAGATGGTCACGAATCTGATGCAATTGACATCGAGAAAGATTCTTCTGATGATGAGCCAGAAGCTAAAATTGATGATCGTAGTTTACCTCCTACAGGAGAAGGTGGAAGACCTGTGGAAGAATCAAGATCCTTGTCACCATACCCTGATGAATTCCAAGAGCGCCAAAACTTTATTGGGAGTTTGTTTGAGGACAGGGAAAATACTGTTGTGGAAAGTTCCAGGCATGAACAATCTGACAGCACAGATAGGATATCTAAAGGCAAGTCTAAAAGGAGCTCTGAGTTGGAGTGCTTTGAAGAGAACGCTGTTCATACTAAGAGATTAAAATTAGAAAGCTCATCTCAACAACCTGTTTCTGGTAATTGGGGAGCCCAATTACAGAGTTCTCGCAATTTATCTCCTAGTAAACTCAACAGAGATTCTGCAAGGAACCCTACCAGTCAAGTTACTAATAAAGGTGAGTTGAAGGGCAATTCTGATTTTAGACCAAAAATGGGAAACAAAGAAATAGTTTCAGAAAAAAATTGTTCAGATGTTTCACAAGCAAGTTGGAGGCCCCATGATCAAAGTGGAGTGAGGGCTGTAGATACAGCAGTTAGACCCGACAAGCATGGTGAGAGCATTGGACGTGGCGGTAAACACAGTGAAAAGGGTGGTCATGCTAATGAAAGTTTTCATGCGTATAAAGATAGATTTTATGGAAATGTTGAAAATGAAGGGATGAATGAGAAAAAAGTTTCAAGAAATTCTAGATCTGGTGGTCCAGGAGACAAACAGATACAACCCTGTGACTCCCATCTTAGTAAACCAGGTGACATAGTTGGAAAATTCAAAGATGGCAAAACGTTTTCAAGTTCGCAGATGGGGTACTCACCAAGGGATAATAATAATAGAATTAGTGCCGACAGGTCCCCAGTTAATGGAAAAGGCCGTATTCTCCAAAGAGAGCATTCAGACCTTGAATTAGGTGAACTTCGTGAGCCCTTTCCTGAGGAAGTATTGGGTAAAAAGAAATTTGAAAGAAATAATTCATCGAAACAGTTGGAGAACAAAGGGCACACTTCAGATATCTGGAGTTCAGAGTTAAATAAAGGAAAATCTAATTTGAAGGCTAGTTTAGATAATGGAAAGCGGTCCTCACCCCATATAAGTACCAAGTTTCCAAGCAATCCAGAAGTCTCAAATCAAAAGAAGATTTCAGAACATAAAGTTGAAGATTTGACGAGGGTAAACCACCGGCCTCCGCAGTCTCATCCACAAGGACCACAATATAGTTCAAGAGTAGATCACGTTGAAGTTGAAAAGCCGGTTGATGCAAATGTAAAACCTAATCAAGGGATTGGTCCAGAAAGCTGTGGGGAAAGCAACAGGAAAGCATCTGTTGGCATTTCCCAGCTGCATGATATGAAACGAGAACAGCTTCCCTCAAAAAAAGGAAGTAAAAGACAAGCACCTAATCAAATAACTGAAGTTACTGATGCACTAAAGAACCCGATATCAGCTGAGCATGAAAATAGTGATCTAAAGAGAAGAGATTCTTCTTCAGATGAAAACAGTTGTTCATATTCCAAGTATGAAAAGGACGAGCCAGAGTTGAAGGGAGCAATCAAAGATTTCTCTCAGTAAGTTTCGTTTGTAATTCATTTGAATTGTTGAGGCTACTAATTCTGTCTCACTTGTTCTTGTATTTTTTTCATTAATATCTGTGATTACTGATTAAAATGTATACTTGTTTTTAGGTACAAGGAATATGTACAGGAGTATCGTGATAAATATGAATGTTACCTGTCCTTGAACAAAATCCTAGAAAGCTACAGGTAATGCTACTTCTTTTCGTTAATGTCCAATTTTTATCCGTTCCTAGACGATGTTGCAGTCTGCCTCCTAATGTCCTGTTATTATTTTTAAGCAAGTTTGATGATTTATTTGTGTCCTGGTATGCTGTTCCTGTAAAGAAAAGATCATTCCGTTTTTAAGCATCGATCAATTATGTAGGGCTGAGTTCTGCAAACTCGGGAAGGAGCTTGATTCTTCTAGGGGACAAAATTCAGACAAATACTTTAACCTTTTAGAACAGCTGAAAGAATCTTATCGGCTGTGTTCAACGGTATGGCTGTTTCCTAGTATATTTGCTACAAGTTACTTGTTAATATTAGTAGTTTTTCATGTTCAAGTATATATTTCTCAATGTTTACTCTGGAAAATTTCTGATGTTTCATCCAGCTAGTGCTCATTGTAGTCTAGGTTTGTGTAAGCTTTTGGTTTATATTGAAAAATTTGGACTCCAGAGGGAGAGGGAGTTCATGATTGGAAGTAAAAGGTTAGGGATAGTTTAGGATTAAGGTTGACAGTAGATTCAGATGCAGCAAGGCATGGTTGACGGAATTGGTTAGAGGCAACACTTTCTCTATCTCGGTTGATTGGGTAAATTTATTTGTTCCCGTTATTTGAATATGGGTTCTATCAAAGATGGGTTTCATGGCTTGTAGTTGATATTAGCATGAATATCTTTTGTATACCTGAATCTGAATTAGCATCTTTATCTTTTTCTCTTATATTATTTTTCCTGTATAATGAAGTTGACTCAAATAAAGAGTAATTTGCAGAGGCATAAGAGGTTGAAAAAGATATTCGTTGTTCTCCACGAAGAGCTGAAGGTGATTAACATCAACTTACAAATCCACATCACCATCTTGCTTTTGTGGTTCTAACTTTTATCTCTAATTTTGTTATTTTCTTAACATGTATTTTATTGTTGCAGCATCTAAAGGAAAGGATTAAAGATTTTGCACAAACTTATGCGAAGGATTGAGATTGGATGTGTTTCTATTCGAGCAATCGGACGCTCTTTAGACGATCATGTCTGACTTGGGGTAGAGGTCGTTAAGAGGTAGAGGTGGATGCAAGAACTGCATCAATGAATTTCTGTGCATAGTAAAATGAGTCAAATCTTTTTTTTTTTTGCTTGCTACCTTCTCCCCAACCTCAATATAGAAACATGTACATTTTTTCTTTTTGCTCTCTCCCCTCTCTCTCTTGGAATGCATTTTCCTTTATTTAGCAACGTAGAGAGGTTGGACTTTTGTTTTAGTTTAGCCTGACCTCTTCCTGTATAGACTTGTGAGGCTTCTTTTGAGTATGGATATAATCTACTTTTGTAGGTTGTACAAATTTTGAACGTGTAAAAAATGTTCCCAATAACTGTGAATATGCTAATGTCATTTGCGATCATATAGGGAATTCTCTTGGAGTTGTGATGCTATAGTGGACCTGTAACAAGTTTCTTCTCTTGGTCAATGTAGGCTCTAAAAAATAAGTAAAATGCGTACATTACATTGGACTAGAAACTAATGTTGGCAATTGATTTAAGGAGTCGTTTCGTTTGGATTGAGCGCATGAGATGAGAATAGAAGTGTATTGCCGTACAATCATTTTAGGGAGTCATGGTGAAGAATAATAAAGTATCTGGTAATTTTCAGCTGCATTTAGCAACATAACCAAAACAAAGTCTTGAGATTACCAGCAAAGAGTTAACCTCAACATGAAAATAACCATTATAGTAACGCAAAACATAGCAAAACATCTATTGCCAGACTACTACTCCTCCTTCAGATTCCAAACCGAACTACAAAGTTGGCATTCCAAAAGAAAACACAATGAAAAATGCAACAATCTCATTCTCTACTAGCTCAATTCTCACTTCCTTCCACGTGATTTCAACGCTTGCCTGTTCCTCTTCTTTACGCCAGACTTGGCCACCTTAAGGCTCCTGTTCACAGCACTCAATCTTGCAAGGGCATCCCTCTTCAGATCTGGCCTGTAGTAGTTATCTCCCACCTGCATATCATTGGGACAGAAGGGTTCCAACCATTCAAAGTAAATTCGCAGCAAAAGTACTCAAAGCTAGATATATTACTTGGCTTAAGGTATGTGCCACAGTTGTAGTTTTATTGCCGGCGATAAGGGGGGCCGTACAAAGTATATTTGTAGGAGAAGTACTCGAAAGATAGTCATATTACTTAGCCTAAGGTATGTGCCACAATTGTAGTTTTATTGCCGGCGATAAGGGGGGTGGGAGCCGAAACAAGACATTGAATGCCTGAACCTTTAAAATTACCTGATTTGTTACAGCTTTGGCCATCCTACGGAACTCTTTCTTCATTAATGATTTATGAAGCAACGAAGAAGGCTTGTTCTGTTTCTTGCTCTTAGTTGTTGCAAACAAAATGGATTGGTCTTTGCCTCCAGGTTGAATCGTAACAGTTTTCTTGTTGGCCAAACCTAAAACACAAGAATCTTATTTAATCTCTATGCATATACATTATTCACTATCTGCAATATTATCTTCAATCTAAAAAAAGAAAAATCAAAAGAGAAGAAACAGGGATGATAGTTAAAACAATTTCACATGATTAACATCCTAAACATCAGTTTTATGTTCCCTCCCGCCGAATCCAGAATGTATGAAGCATGAACATGTATATCTAGAATATAATCACCAATTGATAAGAGCATCCAGTTTCCATATCATAAACCAAGCATCTTCTTAGGTCCTTGGCAGACAGAATACAATCAGATAACATTAACTATTTAAATTTCCTGTACATAATTCCTTTGCTCCAAAAGAAAAGTCATACACAAACCTCAAAATAACAACGATATAATATACCTATGATCTCGTCTCCGGATCGTTCCGACATTTCAATAAAACCCCCAAAACTTAATCCACTAGCATTTTTCTTGACATGAAAAAAAAAAAAAATCAATTCATCAGAGGATTTGAGATGACTTACCAGAATGTTTGTAGGAGTTCAAATTGTATAAGTTGTTAGACTCTTTGCTGAACTGAACGCCGGCTGTTCCCCTCCCAAACTCCTTGACCAAAAACGAGTTGTTCCTCTTCACAATCTCCCAAATCAATTGTCCTGGAACCGCCGCCATGATCTTCTTGTCGCCCTGCAACACGATGAAACAATATCTTCGAAGTTAGTTTAGCAAGAGTAAAACATACATATGAATGTTATTGTTTCGAGATCAGACAAAAAAATGCATTCAAAAGAAATCGTTTAGAAATGCAGAGACCTGATGAACTTTAGGGTTTGTCTCAGAAACTCGGATGGGCAAAATGGGGCGCGCTAAGAAGAAGAGGGAGTTCCCTAAATTTATATTCAGCCCTAATTCGAAACACGAACCGGAAACTCAATGGGCTTAGGTTATGGGCCTGGTCTATTGAATTTTACGGGAAACCTTGTTCGAACCGGAAAAATATTTCACTTCTCATTTTATTTTTAATTATTTGTTAATTTTAATATGATAAATATATTAAAATTATATATACTTTTGTTGAAAAGTTAGTAAGTTGTTTTATTTAAAATAATTAGTTTCTAAAATCATTTAGTAATTTTATTATAATTTAATATAAAAGTTAATAAACCGTCAATTATAATCGAGTTTGAAGTAAAGGACACGATCACGTCAAGAAATGCATTCTCTATCCCTAATCCCTAATATTCATTCTAGACAAAAAAAAATTCAAGTTCGGAGTAGAGGACGAGATTAGGGCAAGAAATGCATTCCCTATCCCTCATTCTTGATACTCATTTTAGACGAATAATTTGAGTTCGGATAGAGGACGAGATTAGGACAAGAAATGCATTCCCTATCCCTCATCCCTAATACTCATTCTAGACGAAAAATTCGAGTTCAGAGTAGAGGGCGAAATCAGGGCAAGAAATGCATTCCTTGTCCCTAATACTCATTCTAGACGAAAAATTCGAGTTTAGAGTAAAGGACGAGATCATGACAAAAAATTCATTCTCTATCCCTCATTCCTGATACTCATTTTAGACGAAAAATTTGAGTTCGAAGTAGAGGACAGGATCAGGACAAGAAATGCATTCCCTATCCTTCATCCCTACCACTCATTCTAGACGAAGAATTCGAGTTCGGAGTAGTGGATAAAATCAGGGCAAAAAATGCATTCACTATCTCTCATCCCTGTTACTCATTTTAGACAAAGAATTCGAACTCGGAGTAGAGGACGGAATCAAGGCACGATATCCATTCCCTATCCCTCATTTCTGATACTCATTATAGACAAAGAATTCAAGTTCAGAGTAGAGGACGAGATAAGTGATGGTGTTAATATAACACATGCGGAAGCAATTTGGATCTTAGGCACTTTTAGAACATCAATTATTGTAAATCACTAGCATGTTCATAAGTATTAAAACTTAGTTTAAATACTAACCTTTTGTAGTTCAAACTCCTTTTGCCTCACGAACCGGTTTCGAACCACCACTAGTGTCTTCTCCACTATCCTCCGGCCTTAGAACGGGATTGTGGAATCCGGTGAGTGACTAAACTTGGGAGGGATTTTGTATATGTGAAAGAGAATGTTTGTGAGAAGTTTTTCTCAAGGTTTTTCATCAAGATGAAGAATCCCCTCCAAGTATCATGATCACTCTATTTAAAGAGTCAAGTTTGCATGTTCATGCAAACTTGATATCACCAAATTTTGACACTTAAAATTCCACTCAAGAGTTTGGGATTATGTGGCAAGCATGCATGTTTGAGTTAACCAAATTTTGACACTCAAAATTCCACTCAAACTTGTGGGGTTTATTTGGCAAACATGCAAGTTTGGTTAAACCAAATTTTGACACCTCAAAATTCCACTAACATGGATTTTTCCATTTGATGGAAGTCAACATTTTGACTTTCTTCATTTTAATTCAACAATTAATTTGAATAATGAATTTCAAATTAAAGTAACATTAAATGATTAATTAAACTATTTAATTAATATTTAATATTAATTCAAATGCCAATCCCAATCAATTCTTACACATAATTGATTAAGATATTTAAATCTTATTTAAATATCTCACATTCTCTCTTTTCGTTTAATTCGTAAATAAAACAAAATTGCGGTTACATATATCGTATATATGTAACGCATATTCCCTAATTTGAATTCGAACACTTCGAACTCACTCGTCACATTGTTCTATGGTTTAGCCCGATATGAGCTAGCAGAGGGACCTAATGGACCTATAGATCATGGGCTCCAACGATCCAAGATTAACCGATTAAACTCATTAACCTGGTTAACCAACATTCGTTAACTACTAGGACACTCCACTATAGCCTAGTAGTTGCACTCCCCTCACTATAGATATATTTCTGTCCATCTGATATAACCATGATTAGTAAGTCGATCCTTCACAGGTTGTTCGTAACTAGAGCTGGGTCAATTTACCGTTTTACCCCTGAAGTTACTTCTTGTTTCTTATGTCTCACTGATCCTCTAATGAACAATTGGTTTGTGGTCCAACCAGTAAACCAAATCCCTCTCAGGCCAATGAGAGGGTGGGGCCCCTTGTTCAAGACCTGGAGTCAGTGTTTAAGGGAACTACCTTTCTTCTATCCCTAAGTGGGTAGGAGTGAATTCCGTCTTGCACCCCACATCCCCAGCCATTCACCCAGTCTTACTCCTGAAATGGGAGGCCTGTTGAGTCGGCGAACTAGAGCCACTCTCACCCATGCAAATCTAAGGATAATTCCGAATAAACAGGAGTTCATGGTTAGCTCAGGATTAAAACCGAGTTACCTAGGTTATCGAATGAAAAGAAAATCAGTCTCAACAGTAAACGACTTTATAAAGTGAGAGTGGTTTTCTTCATGGTCCGATCATATGCAATACTCATTGCATAGGACGCCCCCACTCACATGTCTCCACATGCACAATTTAGTGATCACATTGTTTATATCATATACAAAAGTGGGCCGCATCCATAGTGTCCCCAGAATAAGGTACTCAGCCTTATCCTTATACTATAGATCATTTTGACTATATACTTGAACTTGATCCACTCTTATGTCTCTACATATAGTTCAAGTAATCATACTATAGCCAGAGTGTTCTTAGTTTATTGGATTTAGATTAATGATCGTAAAGTTCACTTTATTCAATAACAATTTTTACTGAATAAACATCAATAATAACTTTATTGAAAATAGAATATATCTTTGTTTACAAACTATGAGTTTTAGGACATAAAACCCAACAATAAGGACAGGAAATGCACTCCCTATCCCTCATCTCGGATACTCATTCTAGACGAAAAATTCGAGTTCGGAGTAGACTAAACTCTTTGAACTTGACCCTTTAATATGTCATATGATTTCTACCATGATTTTAACTCAAACTTGCAGAAGCCTATCCCCACAATACCATAGCAACAAAATACCTCAAAGCATCAGGAGCTTGCATGCCTCAATGTACTCCATATCATGTGTCCAATATCAGAAGCCCACTGTTTTACCAGACATAGAAACAACCAAAAAGGATAATTTGGGAAACCAAAAGCAACAATGACCCAAAATTATTAAAACTTAGCATGAGGCATTACCTTTCATAAGGTCAATGCCTTCTTTATACCTCAAGCATCATACATATATACAAAGCCAAAAGCATTCTCCTACCCAGTTTTCTTCCTATGGTATGAAAATGAGATACTATTTTACACAAGGAGCTTCTTACTGAGTTTGGTTAAACAAGAGGCACAGACTCTGTTATGGAAGGAGAAACAAGCAAATTCAGCAAACAAAAACTATTTATTGACTACCTGTCGTTGTTAAAGGGCGATACGTCGGTTGTGCCAAGGCGTTCACGCCTTTGTTCATCCTACTGAATACTACTTTAAGAGGGACACAAGCTATTAAAGAACCCTTGGACTTCTCTTCTACTGGTCTACTCTCTTCTGCAAACTGCTTCTGAACAGTCAGTGAAGACAGTTTCCGGGTCTTTTTTGATAGTTGTCCAGATTTCTTTCTCTTTGACGCTCTGCCGAGTGAAGGGCGCGAATGAAATGAGCGGGCAAGGCGCTTGCCCAATGTTTTCCCTTTCGAAGAATTTGATTGTACCGAATGAGGACTTTCCACACGATGAGGATCAAGTTCAGGTCTGCTCAACAGGTCATCACAGTGACCATTATCCAAGACCTCAACAGTGAGCGGATGACCAACGACTGCCTTGCAACTTATTTTGCTCATTAAAGAAACCAGTTGAACGTGTTTCAGCCTATAGTTGGTTTTTGCCACAAGCTCAACCTCATATAGCGAAGCATTGCAGCTAAGTTTTGTAAAAGAAGATTCTGACCTCTGATATTTGGAGTGAACCATAAGGCGAGATTGTCGAAAAGGAAGCAACCTTGGAGCAGCGCAACCGTAATCAGGCAACTGCTTCATCTTAGTTGCTTTCCTGATGATAGTATGGACTTTGTCTTGAGATGTACACTTATTAGAATCCAACTCATCCGATCCATCAGCAAGTTTCTCAGGCTCTGCTGAAGAGTTATTGTTCGAGGGAGGACGTTCCTCAATGGTACTGGAAACTCTCTGATCAGATCCCATATTGAATCCACCCAGATGCTCCATACCTGCCATACAAGTTTTTTGCTTATTGTCTGTCAGTAACAAAAAATTCGAGTCATTTTTCCGAGTTATCTTTGTATGTCTTGAATTCCTCTTCCCCTTAAGCTGCCACTTAGAACTGCTCTTTTCTATTGTCTTACTGATATTGATCTCTGGATCAGCAACAGCAGAACTGGTAGAACCAGATTCATTTAGTTCATTGCTTATACATAAGGGTTTAGCTTGACTGCTTTGGCCGGATTTTCTTCCCGATGCACCAAAGGTAGACCTTCTAGAGGGGCAAGGGGAAAGGCCTGGAAGAAGTAGAAAATACCCGGTAAGGGGGGATCACACTACTGTTGCATCAATACAAAGGAGAAAAGGCAAAACAAATTGGAAACAAAATGGAAAAGGCAAAGGGATGAGACAGACATATAAACTGAAAGGCACAGAGATGGAAGGTATACAGCCGAAGCAAACGGTCAAGCTTTATTAGAATAAAGTTCAGAACCTAGAGAACCTATGCAGTCTTAAAGCAAAAATAATCGAAATATTTACAGGGGAACCGGTCTATATACGTTCCTATAAAGCAAGACATTAATTATTACTTTTTTTTTTTTTAGTTCAACAATTGTGGGGGTGGGAGATTGAAGCATCTTTTACGATGGTAATGGGTGCTTTATATACTGAGCTATGCTCGGATTGGTATACACCAATCATTACTGTTAATCTACAGTCTTCTGTGGAAAAAAATATATAA